CTATCTAGATCTATAGATCTAGATATATATAGATATATTCAAGAAAACCTACTAAATAAATTTCAACAAGTAGGTAAATTCACAAATACAGAATTCATAAATAATAGGGATCAACTGAACTAATTTTCTAATTCTGGTATCAAAACAGCAAAACCAAATCCAATGTGACAGATTTCTAAACAATTATCAAAGTCTGTGTATTAAAGCAAAAGATAACGAGATGCATTAAAAAGGTTAATTTAGTTCAATGGTTCCACCGCCTTGTCTTGCAAGTACAAGGGCCCTAGTTCGATTCCCAGTACCAAAAAAAAAAGGTTAATAAAACTTGAAGGGTAGGTATTTATTCTGGGGTACTAACCTTTTATGAGATCAGATAAGTTGTTCTGTTCCACATTTTTCTTTGCATAGTTGAAACATATATCGTCCACTTCCGTTGCAAGGAAATACCAACCATTTAAGGTTGCTCCAAGTAAGGGATAGATGCAGGATGCCCCGGTACCTAATAAAATACAAAACACATGGTATACACCACAGGGAGAGATGGGAATAATAACAAAAACACTATTCTTCTCAGAATTCTTACAGCTTTAACAGTGTAAATCACAAGCTGGTACATAGTGTAACTACTGAATTCTCTAGTTGTTTTATGTATATTAGTCCTTCATCATTATCAGCACCAAACTTTCCAGAAGACAGAAATCTTGGGGTTCTCTTCTTTTGTATGTTTTTATTTTGTTCTGTGGGAGGCTTAAGGGTACTCAGGCTCATTTGCAAACTCAGTGCTCTATGCATGTTTGGCAAATGCTCTACCACTGAGCTATACTCCCAGCCCCATTTTTTGTATGTTTTCTATAAAGTGAACTACACATAATTCAAGGTTATTACATATAACTGATTAGTAAAAATGTTCAAAACTCAATTTAACTTACTTTATAAAAACTCTTATTTTCCGGCCGGGGATTTAGCTCAGCGGTTCGGTGGCCTGCCTTGCAAGTGCAAGGACCCGAATTCAATTCCCAGTAACCAAAACAAAAACAAAAACAAAAAAACTCTTATTTTCTTGTAGTGCTCAGGGATTAAGTCCATGATCTCAGGCATGCTAGGCAAGTGCTCTACCACTCAGATACAATCCCAGCCCTTTTTTATTATTTTGAGACAAATTCTCACTAAACTGCCCAAACTGGCTTCAAACTTGTATCTTCCTGCCTAAGCCTTTCAGAATGGCTGGTTGCTGGCTAGTGACTAACACTGCGCAGGGCTGTCTACCTCAGCGTGATGCACAGCTACTCATTTCTTAGAAGAAATCAATGCTATTTGTTAAAATACCACAGTAATATCTTAAAACAGATCAACATAATAGGAAATAGGGAGATAGATCTTTTGCAAATGGGGAGGGGACCAAGAGACAGAAGGAGAGGGGAGGGGAAGAAGACAAAAAGTAATTAAGATGTGTTATGTACATGTACCAACTCCCCATAAAGAATGTGATCATTATGTACTACACATATGTACTAATAAAAATTAAAACTGAAAAACATTTAAAATTAAAATAAATCCACATATATAAAGGGCATAAAATTTTTACAGCATCAAATGGCCTAATTCCACCCTAATTCCACACATTTTATAAATTGTCACTCAATGTAAACCAAAAGTATAAAAAATAGGTAATTTTTTTCTTAGATGTGAAGACATGGAAAGATACTTAATTTGGATCCAAAACATAAGTCATCATTGGCTAGGTCGGGGATTTAGCTCAGCAGTTCTGCCTCCTGCCTCGAACGCACAAGCACCTGAATTCGATCCCCGGTACCAAAAAACAAAAACAAACATCAGTCAATGGCTAGCCTCCCATAGGTTCAAGGGAGATATTCAGAGGCAAACACTCCAGCAAAAAAAAATCACTATTTGACAATCAGGTTTGGTCTAAGCTTGCATGAAGAAGGCCAAGCAATGGACTGGTTGATCCTAACCACATATTGCTTTTACAACGACTGGCTAATCGTGGCCAATTAGAACCTACAGGCCAGGCCAGGGATTTGGCACAGTGGTTCCACTGCCTGTCTCGCAAGCACAAGGGCCCAAATTCAATGCCCAAATTCAATCCACAAAAAAAAAAAAAAAAAAGCAATCTACCAATTAGAACCAACAGAGGGAAAAAAAAAAAGCAACAAAAAAATAGTGTCTCACCCACCCAAAGGCCTAAAGGAGTTACCTGCTTTCCCTTAACCACATACTGATTCCATCCTAGTTCCAAGGTCTGGCAGGAAGAACTTATAAGCTAGGGGAAACCCAGGCTCACCTTTCTGTCTCCTCATGAGATACTCTTAACTGGCTAGAAGACAGGACAATGGTTGATGGCTGTACATTTAGGCTCTTATGCAGTCATGGTGATTTGCTACCCAACTTTCCTGGCCCTGATGCTATTGGTCAAACATTTCCTGGGGAATTTGTGAGGTGAGGAGGGGAAGAGGGTAAAGGGTATTCAAGTTCCTCTCACAAGCCACATTATTCAGTCCAGCTAGCCATTCTGATGAGCCAGCCAGTAATTCAAAATTTAAGAATTTCAATATCACTTTCAGCTGTATAGGGGGAAAAAATCCAGACCAGATCCAGACTCTCACACAACTGTCTCTTTGCAAACTTCAAGTCAAAGAAGAAAAAAAATTTTCCTCCAGAGTGATAATTGCAGATAAAAGGCCCTTCCCCCTCCCCAAAAGTTTCTCAATTCTCTAGACCAAAGAATTTACATTCTGACATTCTAATTCCCCCAGAAAGCTAAGTGACATTTTTAAGTGGGTAATAATCTTTATAATAACAAATAAAAATGGAAAGTATAAAGTCAAAGAATTAGAGCAAACTGAAGGAGTCTAGGGGAAGAATTTATATAAAACTCTAATTAGAATGAATGTGATTTCAGCAAGCATTGGCCCTTGTGAAGAGCTAAAATCCATTAACCTCCTATATCCCCAAGTGCTATTTTTGAGGGTCTGGGGCATAATTTAAATCAAATTAGCACCAAATAGGCTCTCAAGCTTTTAAGCTTTCTAGAACTCATCAGCCAGTCTTCTGCCATGAATAAAAGTAGGTAAGAGCTTTAGGTAAACCCTACTGTTTTTACAATGCTTAACACATATGAGATATTCAGAATTTTGCATGTTGAAAGAATTATGTATTCCTGGAGTTTGCTGAGAATCTTCCCCAGGCTTTGGCCATAGTCCCAGGTGAGATTCAGTACCTAGAGCATCCAGGGGCCTCAGTTCACCAACTGAGGGAAGGTGAAAACCACTCGCTACCACTACCCCCTCCCTGACAGCCCCAACAGCTTCAAGTGTGGCCTTGCCCCCACCTTAGACCCTTGACCTCATTTTTCTCTCTCTTCTACCCTTGACCTCAACTTTTTCTCTGCAGGACTCCGGATTGTCTGGAGCCTGAGGCAGACACCCTAGGACCCTGTGGGCAGGAGAGCTCAACTGTCCCCATTTTTCAAATAAGGCTGTCTCAATTTAAAAGGGGAGGGGGTGTTACGCATTTATCTAGCAATACTCCACAAATCATTTGTCTTCACAATTTTGTTAAGAAAATGACATTAATCAAACAATCAGATGGTTGTACGATTAAAACTGAAATAAATGCAATGATGGAAGAAATTAGGTTTTCAGAAAGTTTACAGCTTATCTTAGGCTAGGACAGGGATGTTAAACCTTTTAGAGCTTTCTATGATAACAAATAGCGGGCTGCAGCATGCCTGCCATACACAGGCTGGCCACCACTGGCCTAGGAGATCAGAGAAGGCTTATCTGAGAAAAGAAGGACTGAGTTAAGTACAATATAAAAAATGAAGGCCGGGGATTTAGCTCAGTTGTTCCACCGCCTGCCTGGCAAGCGCAAGGTCCTGAGTTCGATCCCCAGTACCAAAAGGAAAGAGAAGATGGGAGAAGTTCCAGGCACAGTAACATATTTAGTTCTTCTTTTAGAAGAATTTCAAGTGCAGAAAGCAAGAATAAGAATCTTATTATTACAAGGGTAGTGAAGCCTAGAGAATAGGGCAAATACCAAACAATATTCTAACTGTCCAAGTCAAAGTTTTGTGTATTTATCATAAAAGCAATAGGAAATCATTAAAGGAGAGATGATGTGATCAAAGGTGGATTTATACATATCTTCTGAATGAAGTGTACAGAACAGAAAGGATTACAGCATACCAGCTGTGAGGCTATTCTGTACACAAAGAGACAGTGATGGCTTGGACCGGGATGGCAGCAGTAGGGATGCAAAGAAGTAGATAATTTAAGACTTATTTAAGAAAGCTGGCCATAGTAGGTGCACTTGTAGTCTCAACTACTTGGAGAATACAAGATAGGCAAACTGCTTAAGCCCAGCAGTTTGAAGCTAGACTGGGCAATACACAGAGACCCTTGTCTCAGAAACAAAGAATAAAAGAAAACCAAAAAACCCAACAATAGGGACGGAGATTTAGCTCTGTTATTCCGTCGCCTGTGCAAGATACTGAGTTCGATCCCAGGTACTGCCACACACACACACAAAAAAAAACCCAAAAAACAAAAAACCTAACAACAAGCCAGGCGTGGTGGCGCACACCTGTAATCCCAGCACTCGGGAGGCTGAGGCAGGAGGATCACTGGGAGTTCGAGACCAGTCTGGGCTACATAGTGAGTTCGAGGTCAGACTCAACTACATAGTGAGACCCTGTCTCAAAAAAACAAAAAACAAAAAAACCCCCAACAAAACCCAACAACAAGAAGATATATTTAAGAGAAAAATTTTAATAAAGCTAGGCACAGGTTTGAAAGGAGGGGAGGGAAATGGGAAAAAAAGAAGAACTAAGATATATTACACACAGGTACAAATTCTCTTTGATGAATGTGATCATTATGTATGGCAAATAAGTTCCAACAAAAAATTATTTTAAAAAAATTTCTAAAAAAAGAAAAATCAACAAAAAGCTAGGCACACTGGTACACATCTATATTCAAGGCAATCTCAAAGAAAAAAAACTATAGGAATTAAGTGTTGGGCACTGGCAGAATGAAAAATAAATATCAAGGATGAGGAGGTAGATGTGAAGATTCACTGAAACAAGAAACAAAGGAAGAGAATCAGGATTAGGAAGAAAAACTGTGAGTTTGTTTTTGGATGTCACCAGACTGAGACTTTCCTTTTGTAGACAGGGTCTCCCTATGTAGTTCAGGCTGGTCTTGTCTTGAACTCATGATGATCCTTCTGCCTCAGCCTCCTTAGTATGAGGATAATAGTGTGGGGATAACAGGCATGCATGACCACACCTGGTTAGACTGAGGCATTTTTGAGATAACCAAGTTTCTTATCTATGAGTCTAGAGGTCAAGAAAACCATTCTGAGCTGGAAGAATATATAAGGATCAGACTTACTTGCTTGGAGGTGAGAAATGAAATCACAGATAGCAATGAAATTGCTAAGGGGGAGTATGGAATGAAACAGGGGTTAAGACTGAGGCTTAAAAAATAAGGATTATCATCTAATGGTCAGATATGGAAGAGTAAACCTGAAAAATAGAGGAAGGCAGCAGCACCAGCCCTAAACCTGAAAAATAGAGAAAAGGGAGTAACAAGGAAAAACATGGAAGCAAATAGAGAATAGTGCATAAAAGAGAAAGGAGGGCCAATTAAATGCTGGTAAAAAGGTTACACAAGATGTTGTGGAGGAAGATGGTCCCTGAAAATGCATGCAAATGTCAAAGTTAAACATTTACTATAATCTAGAAATTATGACTGCTATTAACTGTCCTATACTTAGAAACAGAAACTCAGAACTGTTAATTCAATCTTTCCTATAGGAGACTAGTAAAGGCCATAAGTTAAAAAAAAAAAAATGAAAAGATCCTATCAAATGAAAAGAATGGCTTTAATAACCCATTAAGAGATTAGAAAAGCCTCTATTCAAATTCCTGAGTCTCCCCTTTCTTTATAATTATAAAACATGTCATGGCTTCACACCCTTCTGTACTTCTACTTATCCTCCCAAATGAATAACATAGACATCTTTCTCTACAGTAAAAGTTTACAATTAAAAGAATATCTTACTTTAATTCAGTGACTTTTTTCTCTCTTTAATCTTGGATTTAATACCCTCTGCAAATAATTATCAAGTAAGTTCCTGAAAGTATTTAGGACCACATGATCTTTTTAATAAGAGGTCTTTTTTTAAAAAAAAAAAAATAAATGAACACTGCCTCAAAAATCTCAGTATGAGTACTGCACCGACATCAAATGATTCAGAGTAAAGACAATGCTCAATAGACACAGACATCAATCTGGTAGTACAAAAAGAGCTAATGAGCCTCACTTTCATTCTGTACATCTCTTACCCTCTTGCTTCCTGTTTGGAGCAGACAAGCCCTTCTCAAAAGAAAACAATGGAAGAAAAGCCCCAGTGCCCAGAATAAGAACAGCAGTATTTCTGGCCAGCTTCTTTCACACAGCAAAATACCCAGTAGAGAAGTTAATAACGAATTTGACCCTGCAAAATTTATGACACTCAGGGTCAGCCCAGACAAAATTTAAAACTATATACCTATGTCGATTCCTCTTCGAAGCGTAGTTTTGTCGGCATCCTGGTGCCCAATCAGATCTTCCACCCAATGAATGTAGTTGAGCCTCAAAGGAACTGTGGGAATTAGTCTCTCCAATGGAATATCAATAGAAAGTCCAAAGTCCTCCCTGAGAAGAGTACAGGTCAAAGCTCTGACTGCTTCAGGGTCTTTAAAATTAAGACTGAAGAGTGAAGAAAAAAAAGAAGTTAAAATGTACACGTTCTACAGCAGCCAGGCAATACCAAATGTCCATTAAAATCTCCTAGAGAGATCACAAATACTAATATTTATAATTATTTAAGTAAACATTAACAAGTATCTTTTTAACAAATATATTAGCACTTATTAATTTAAAAAATATTGGGTTTCAAGGTGGAGTTTTTATATATGCATATATTTTGAACATATGTGCCTTCCCTATTCCCTATTATCCTCCCTTATACCCAACCCTTTTACTCTTTTCTTCTGGTCTAATAATAATCTTTAGGCTCCCAGGTGCCAGGTATGGTGGCATATGCCTGTAATCTCAGCACTCAGGAGGGCAAGGAAGAACAGCTCTGAATTTGAGGCCAGCATGGGCTACATAGTGAGTTCAAGACCAGCCTAAATGACACAAAAATACCGTCATAAAAAACAAACAAATGAAAAATAAATCTTCCTTTCTACTCTCATGTCATCTTTTTTAGATTCCACATACTAGAAGGAACATGTGATACCTGTCTTTCTGAGTCTGGCTTATTTTGTTTAACATGACGTCTACTTTATCCATTTTTATGCAAATGACATAATCCCATCCTTCTTCACAGCTAAGTATATCCCATTGTGTATACACACTATCCATTCATCTGTTAATGGAAACCTAGCTTGGTTCTACTATCTCAGCTGCTGGGAATTGTGCCACATTGTACATGGGTATGCAGTTATATTATGCTGATTTTAATTCTTTTTGAGTATATACTGAGGAGTGGCCTGGTCTGATCAAATGGTAGCTCTAATTTTAGTTTCTGAGGGACTTCCAGACTGATTGCCAGTGGTTTGATAGAGAAAACTTTTGTAAATAACCAAAGACCTACAAAATGTTAGGAAAATGTAGAAGATGACTTCTGCTCTAACTGAAATCCCCTGGGATTTCCTGGGTTCCCTTTCTAGGACTCAGAGGCCAGCTCACTGGCAGCAGACCGCTCAAACCCAGAACAGAGACAGCAGAAGGCGGCAAGTGAGTGAAATCATCTGTCTGAATGGTGAGATTCCCTGGGTAACCCCTAGTTTGTTTTGCTTTTGTTTTGGCTCTTAATTGAACATTTGCTCAGATTACAGATTGGAGGCCTGATTACCCTCCCTTTTCTGCCATCCGCAAGGCTTTATATCCTCAATTTGGGCAAAATATAGAGTGAAGACCTAATCACCCTATACTCTTTGCTGTTTTTGAGTTTCACTTGTATACTCTCAATTTGTTATTGTACTTTGTATTGTGCTTTGTAAGGGGCCCCAGGGAGGGAATATGTTAATTACTTGTTTGTGTGTGTGAAAGAGACTCCCTTAGAAGAGTGAGTGCAACAAGCTAGAAAAGCAATGGGTAGCCTCCTCTGTGCACCAAGACAAAGGAAAGAGGCGTTTATACTTAAAGATCCCTCCCCGAGTGGCTGATGAGAACTGTTTAGTTTTGATCTTAGAACTGCTTGCCAAATCTGCTATTTTTCACATGGCGGACTTGCTTCTCTCGGAAAATGTGACATTGTTACAGGCAAAAATCCCAATGCTTCCCCTTTGGAGGAAGTCAAGCTGCCTCTCCCTTGCTAAGATCACAGGTGTGGAGGACGTGGGGGCAAAAGCATGAGGAGAACTGTTTGGCCTTACTGTCAAATATTTGGGATTCCAAATTACTAAAGGAATGAGCTGATTTGAGAAAAAAACAAGTTGTCAGTGCCAACAGCATTTAAATGGTTAAAACTAACCCCCTCTGCTGCTCCTGCATTGGGAATCCCAGATGAGACCCAACATTTTACTTCGTATGTGACTGAAAGAAATCTCACTGGCTTAGGGATGCTCACCCAAAAGTGGGCTCCTGAAATCAGCCAGCAGCGTATTTATCTAAGAATTTGGATCTACTTTCAAGGGGATGGCACCCTTGCTTAGGAGCTTTGGCAGCTGCTGTTACGCTGATTAAGGAGGCTGACAAGCTGACCTTAGGACAGGAAATGACTATTCAGGTTCCCCATGCCATCCTAGAACTGCTGAGTAATAGGGGCAAATAATAGAGTCACACAGTATTAGGTCCTCATCTGTGAGAATCCCCACCTACATTTTGTTCCAGTTAAAACCTTGAATCCTGCTACCTTTTGCCCTTGGAATTTGGCCCCCCGACCACGGCTGCCTCAGCATCATCGATGAGCTGTTCTTGAGTTGTCCAGATCTGCAGAAAACCCTGCTGCCTGATGCTGATTTCATCCTATTCACAGATGGGAGCAGCTTCATGGAAAATGGCATACACTATGCCAGTTATACAGTGACAACTCAAAATGAAGTGGTCAAAGTGGGACCCCACCCAACCGGATGGTCAGCTCAGCGAGCAGAGATATGGGCACTCATACAGGCTCTCCGATGGGCAAAAGAAAAGAGGGTAAATATTTATATAGATTCCCATTATGCCTTTGCTGCCCTATATATTCATGGCATAATATATATAAAGGACATGAGAACAAACAGATTAAGAATAAACAGGAAAGCTGGGTGTGGTGGTACACAACTGTAATCCCAGCACTCACGAAGCTGAGGCAGGAGGATCGCTGTGAGTTCAAGACCAGCCTGGGCTACATAGTGAATTCCAGGTCAGTCTCAACTACATAGTGAAACCCTGTCTCAAAAAAAAAGAATAAACAGGAAATAATACAGTTATTGGAAACACTGTGGTATATGTACTGCACATACTGGAGACGCTGTGGGAACCCGATAAAATAGCAGTGATGCATTGCTGTGGGCACCAAGAAAAAGAAAGATGCAACAGCAAAAGGAAATGCTAAGGCAGACACAGAAGCCAAAAAGACAACTAAACAAACTTCAAATGATCGTACTCACTGGTGAATGAAAGAGTAAAATGGAAATACAAAGGCAGCTGCTATAAAATATTCAGATAAAGAGGACGAATGGGCTAAGAAACAAGTGGCTGAAGAAGAAGGACTTGTTTGGATTCTACCTGACAACAAATAATACCAGACATGCTATCTTACTATTGGATTAAATGATATGATTTGACTCATGGAGCAAAGACAGCTCTCCAAACACTGTTAGAGAAATATTTCTTCATACCTCAGATTTCTGCTGTGTGTGAACCAATCTCAAAAAGGTATCAAATTTGTTAGAAAATAGACCCAACTTCAGGGCCCAGAGCATCACCTGGAATACAGAAGGGCACAACCCCTTTTGAGGACAAACAAATAAGATTGTACAGAAATCTCCCTTTGCAAAGGTTATGAATATCTGTTGGTATGTGTTTGTACTTCCTATGGATGGCTTGACGCCTTCCCTACAAAAACAGAGAAGAGGGGCTAGGGATTTAGCTCAGTGGCTCCCGCGCCTGCCTCACAAGCACAAGGACCAGAGTTCGATCTCCGGTATCTCCCCACCTCAAAAACAAAACAGAGCAGGCTTCAGAGGTATGCAAGATTTTATTTAGAGAGACAATCCCAAGGTTTTGTCTGCCTCTCTCTATAGGTAGTGACAATGGGCCAGCATTTGTGGCAGAGATTGTACAAGATCTAGCTAAACTATTACATATTAAAATGGTACTTCCACACTGCTTATCAGCCCCAGAGCTCCAGAAAAGTAGGAAAAAAAAAAAATGAATCATACTATTAAGCGTGTATTGGGGACTGGGGATTTAGCTCAGTGGTGCTTCTACCTGCCTTGTAAGTGCAAGGTCCTGAGTTTGATCCCTGGTACCAGAAAAAAAAAAAAGAAAGAAAGAAAAAGAGTGTATTAACTTAAAAAAAAAAGCGTATTAACTAAATTTTGTCAAACAGCACACTCAAGGCCCTGCTCTCACCACCCTGGAAGCTGGTGAGCCTATGCACAGCTGAAGAATGAGCACTGCAGTCAAAGTATTATGCACACTTTTATTGTGTCAAATGGTTATGAGTTATTTTGTTTTTTGTTTTTGTTTTTTTTGGTACAGGGGATTGAACTCGGTCCTTGTGCTTACAAGGCAGGCCACTGAACCGCTGAGCTAAATTGCCAGCCCATGAGTTATTTTGTTTTTGAACTGAGTTTATAAACCTAAAGATGATGTTTATAAGCCTAAAGATGATGAAAAATATGTGAACTTTAAAACTGTTAAATGGGAACTGGAGGGACATCCCCTCATGCTACTTTTTGATGCCTGTTCAAAAGAACATTATAGAAACCCAGGTACCATACTCAACTGTGGGTAAAAAAAAAAAAAAAAAAAAAAAAAAAAAAAAGATATATTATTCAGATGAAACTCAACTATGGTTAAACAGTTCTACTGTGATCAAAAGTACTGGAAATTGTGATAACTGTAAACAGAGACAATGTAACCCTTTAAAAATGTATATAGCTTGGTCTTGAAAAACAAGCTGGCTACAAGGAATAGTTTTTCATGTTTATATTCAATATTAGTCAGCTGCTATGATGCATCAGAGGTTAAAAAGATGGGATTCTGGCCAGGTGTGGTGGCGCATGCCTGTAATCCCAGCACTTGGGAGGCTGAGGCAGGAGGATCGCTGTGAGTTTGAGACCAGCCTGGGCTACATAGTGAGTTCCAGGTCAGTCTCAACTACATAGTGAGACCCTATCTCAAAAAACAAACAAAAGATGGATTCTACAGATTAAAAAGGTTTGGAAGGACCCCCTTCAGAAATAAGGAAAACTCCTGCACCACAGGAAATACAAAATATTTTAAAGGGCATCCAAAGAACTACACAGAAACAGATATGATAGATTTAATTGATAACTCACTCACTGTTACTTCAGACCAGGAATTAGCCTCAGATTGCTGGATTTGCACACCACTTACCGTGATGACTTATCAAACAACTGGCATCATGAATGACCTGCCCTTAGTGGCAGTAAAGCTTACAATGTATCCTTTGCTCGGCTACCCAGTACATATAATTGGCAATGGGACTTGCTTTCTTGGTATTGCCCCAAATGAAACTTTCTTTC